CGCTCCACACGCCGGCAGCTTCTTCAGCGACTGAATTTGGTAACTGAGCAAGTAATTAGTTCCAAATAATTCCATTGTTCAAAGCTGTGTCGTCGTCGTCGTCGTCATCGTCGTCACCATTCCCGTTGCCGCTGCAGATGCACTCCGCGGTTACCGCCGCAGCGGTGCGTTCCGTGGCGTCTGCCACGGCTCTTGCCGTGACGATTTCACCGTCGGTGCCCATCAGCCATCAACGGTATCCCCAAACCGATTTCAGATTCAGCAGTTCCTGAAGAAGCGGCTCCCACAGCGCACCAAGCGACGCCGTCAAGACATCGTGCCGAACGGCGCCAAATCGGAAAAACCGCACGGCAGAGCAAAGCAAAAAAAAGGTCGTCTCTATCTACCCCCAGTTTGGTTGAAATCGGCTTGGAGTGAGGGAGAATGCGGTTGCCGCCGCCGCCGGCGTCACCGGTAGAGTGGAGCGCAGGGGAAGCCCTGCGGCGAACAGAGCATGGGGCGGGGGGTGGGGCGCGGCAGGCTCCACGAATAACGCCGCGGCCGGGAATGAGCCCTTGCGCGCGCGGAAAGTAAAAACACGACGACGACAGCAACGTAGCTGCAGAGGGTAGAATACTAAAATTATGTTTTAAAACAATCACTCTCTCCATCTCAACGGCGGAATCTGGTCGATTGACTCCTGGGTCGAAGCGGCCGCAAGAGGAACGTGTCCCAAAATCTTCTTCTGGTTGCCATCATCATCATGATCGTTATTATTTACAGATATTTATTATTAACGAACCTCCAAACTGTTGCGTTCGATCAGACTCAGCAGTCGGCTTCTTCGGAGATGAACAAATCACGAACACATCATCATCATCATCATCGTCGTCGTCGTCGTCATTGTTGTCCTCCTGCCTTGCCCCGTCCTTCACTCGGAGGGATAAAAAAAATGCATGGGCGCATGCGAAGGGATTCTCGAAACGTTTTGGAGCATCGGCAATCGGCAACCACTTCTACGCCGTCTCCTCTCCGCCTCGCAGTCTTCCCGTCTCGATCGTCTTTGCCGTCGCTCCAGCCGCGGGTTCTCACACGCCCGCCGTTCCGCGGCGTCAAAGCGCATTTCCCGCCGTGACGCGCAATTGGAGGACGGCTGTCAACTCCCCGTTCGGGAGAGGAGTTTAGTTTGTCCGTCGTCTTGCACTCCGCGCCGTCGTATGTACACAGAGACACGCACGCCGTCCGGTGGCGCTCACGGCAGGCAGGCGGGGGCGCGGGGGGCAGCCCCCCCCTCACTGGGGGGGGGGGGGGGGGGAGGTGCGGTCCTCGCCTATGTCACGTCCTCGTCGTCAGAGCAGTAGTCGCGCCCCTGCCGGGAGAAGAAAACACGACGAGTGATCGGCAAGGTGCGTTGTTTGAAAAAACACACAGCACAGGGTAACTTTGGGGGGGGGGGGGGGCGGTGACAGCAGCAATTATTGTGCCCCACTCCCATGGCTTCAGTCACAGCTAAGACTCAGGAGGGGTGGGGGGGGGTGTTGAGACGGAGCTGTGCGGAGCGCCGAGCCGCCCCGGCGTAAAGGAGGGCAGGCGGCTCCACCGGGAGCCAAATCAACGTTTGTATTATTGGCGTTACGCAACTCGTCAAAATGGGAGAGAGATTATCCCTCCGAGTTGATTCGCTCCTGACCCCGACCATTGTCCCCCCATTTAGCGATTTTACTCGAAGGCATTATCCCCTCTCTCTTCCCTCTCTTTTCCTCTCTTTCCCATACAAGCTCCCCCATAACCCTCTCCCCTCTCTCTCTCTCCTACCCCCCCCCCCCCGCCCCCTCTCGTGCGCACTTCCTCCCGTTTTTTCTCCTGGAGATCGCAGGCAGCCGTTGAACGCCTCCGTGTTAACACATCGGTGGTGCGCGTCGGCCGCTCAAGTCTGCTGCCGTATTGTTGCGCCAAAACCATTAGGAAGATCATTATATACAATAACGAAGGGTGGCCTTTCACGACGGCGCAAAGGGTGTACATAATTAGCACCCTTGACTGCTCGTCCAACGGATTGCTTTCCTAATGAGCAAATGTGCCCTGGCGTTAGCCCCCCGCTCGCTAAGCCATTTGCGCAGTTCACCAAAACAATCCCAAGCCGGAGGTATTAGCAGCACAACAGGCTGTGAGGAGCGGGGATTAGAGTAAGCGATCTGTGGCCCTGTGCGGGTTTAAATTTGCATCATTATTGTCAATATTGCTACGGGTGATGTAAACACCCGTTCATGGAGCGTGGTCAAACATCTCCCATACACCACCACGGCAGCTCTCTAATACAGCACCACAGAGCTGGTGGTTTTGCCGGTGGCCTCCGAAACATTATCTCTCTCGGATAGTGAACTAAAACTGTGCTTGTTACAAATTATAAATGGTTTTTACCTTTAATATGATCCACAGATTAGCTGATCTTCAACATCACTGTAGTAATCATCATCATCATCACAGATGTAGAGATGCAATAATGAACTTACCCGCTCTATCTTCTCATCCAACATGCGGAAGAACTCAATTTGACTTTCCGACAGGTGCAGGCTGCAAAACAAGTGCAAGTCAATTCTGTTAGGCCAGACGTGGTCTCAAGATACCAGGACGAGCTGTTATCTTAACGGAATTAATCAGCGCCTTAACTAAGGCCGCTTTATGGAGAATTAAGAACGGTACAACACGTGTGAGTGTGTGTGTGAACGTAACGGTCGAGATGAGGTGAATGAAACAGATGAGAGGGAAGTAATGGGGGCGAATCTGTGATGAGTGAATTCGGTGAAAGCGAAACTGATGACAGTAAATCATGATGAATGGATTGAATGAATGTGGAACGAGTGACAGCCACGCAATGAGAATATGAAGAGGGAACAGTGACGGTGGTGGTGGTTATGAGGGGCAGATTCAGGGGGTCGTGGGGTGAGCTAGGAAACAATAAGCGAGTTTTGAGTGAGGAGCGGAAACTTAGTGAGCGAAGGCGACTGCCTAATGTGGAGCGGGAAATGTGCTTCCAGTGAAGGGAGGGAGGGAGTGAAACGAGAGAAGGAGCGGCAGCCTGTGATTGAGCACAAGCAGGAGCAACAGAGAGAGGTAAGAGAGTGACCCGGGGACATTCATCTGCCAGTCGGGGGCGGGGACTGCTGCGTGCGATCCCAATCGAGCGATCCGCGGCGTCATTTCCGAATTTGGCCGAATTTGGACCCTCTTGGCCGACTCGTGGCAGGCAGCACACTCTTGCGAACGATGTCAAGGGATCTTTAACGTCCACCGTTGTAAGGGAAACCTCGTAAACGCGGGCCGGGGGAGGGGGGGGGTTACGTTCCTGCAAAATGCCGCGCTGGGAAATAGGGTTGCGCTCCTGGGTAGAAAATCATCACCTCCCTCCCCCCTTCCCTCTCCCCCTCTTTCGGTTGAACTAATTCCAAGTGAATTCCCCCCTTGCCGTTGTACTAAAGGAGCGCGGAGTCGCTCTCCGTCCCTTGTGCGTGCGCGTGTACACTCTTTATTTTCAATTTCACCTCATCACCAAAACCCGTCTCTACACCACCCTTCCCGCACCGCTGCACTCATGCCCAACCGCTCTCCCCCTCCCCCAACACTGAGCCTCCCCCCCCACCCCCGAGTGGACGGCTAGATGCGTGCGGCAACGCGCCTGCGAACATCTGCATTGTGCGCGAGCGTGTCGAGTTCCCTGTGTGTTACATCATCACACACACACGCGGTAAATAAATGGTTCCACGCAGTCAATTCATTCGCACCGCAGTCCCATCCAACGGACGCAACGCTCTCTCATCTCTCGCAAGGCCGCACCTCCGATGGGCGCAGTTGGCTACGTACGGTGCGAAAAGAGTTCAACATACGTACCTCGAACGACTATCTTCGCAACAATCTTAGCAATGTCCAACCACGTATAGACGAAACATCACTCCCCTCATCCCAGTCTTCTGGAAAACCGACCTCACTAAGCAAACTGTTTAGAGGCAAAGCCACAATTGGCGAGGTTTTTATGTGGCCAAACGTACCCTGCCAGGACCTTCCTAAAAAAAAAGGTCTTGAGACTCGATCAAACGTGATATACGTGTTAAACGAAGGCCGCCAACTAGCACTGCCGTGCATTTGCGTGGGATATCGCTACAGTGAATCACAAGCGAAACGGATTGATCGACAGTCACTGGCCGACTTTAAAACAACAACAACAATAATGTGACGTAACAATATGAACAGATAAAAACAGATCTAAATCAACACCAAGAACGATTCAACATAACATCAATCTAATGACAAATATACATCGACAACAATAAGATAATTGTTCACATCAACAATAATATATCAACATCCACCAGTGACATATCAACAACGTTAATATCATCAACACCTCGTGCATAAGTATTTTACAACCACAACTGAAGCCACAATATAACAAAAAAACATTATAATCACAACTACAACCACATTACAACCGCAACTGAAATGAAATGATGACAACAGCCGCAATATAGCCACAACCATAGCCAAAAAACGGCATTAACGTGGACCAACCCTGTGACGAAGCCACCCGCAATGCGTCCGATCGCCGTCGGATCGCGCAAGCTCAACAGGCATTGAGCCTGCGTCATGCGGGATGGGCGAGCGCCCAGCACTAGGCGTTGCGGCCTGTGGGGCCAAGTTGGTGGGCAGGAACAGACGGCAGTGCAGAAAGACCCACTGTTGTATATACGTTGAACGTCTTTCGCACTGTGCGTAGCCAACCGTGCTAATCGAAGGTGCAGTGTAGAATCTATGGGCAGTGTTGAGTCTATGGGCAGTGTTAGTCTATGGGCAGTGTTGAGTCTATGGGCAGTGTTGAGTCTATGGGCAGTGTTGAGTCTATGGGCAGTGTTGAGTCTATGGGCAGTGTTGAGTCTATGGGCAGTGGTTGAGTCTATGGGCAGTGTTGAGTCTATGGGCAGTGTTGAGTCTATGGGCAGTGTTAGTCTATGGGTAGTGTTGAGTCTATTGACAGTGTTGAGTCTATGAGCAGTGTTGAGTTTATGGGTAGTGGTTGAGTCTATGAGCCATGTTGAGTCTATGGGCGGTGTTGAGTCTATGGGTAGTGTTGAGTCTATTGACAGTGTTGAGTCTATGGGTAGTGTTGAGTTTATGGGTAGTGATTGAGTCTATGAGCCATGTTGAGTCTATGGGCGGTGTTGAGTCTATGGGCAGTGTTGAGTCTATGAGTAGTGTTGAGTCTATGGGTAGTGTTAGTCTATGGGCAGTGGTTGAGTCTATGAGCCATGTTGAGTCTATGGGCAGTGTTGAGTCTATGGGCAGTGTTGAGTCTATGGGCAGTGTTGAGTCTATGGGCAGTGTTGAGTCTATGGGCAGTGGTTGAGTCTATGGGCAGTGTTGAGTCTATGGGCAGTGTTAGTCTATGGGTAGTGTTGAGTCTATGGGCAGTGTTAGTCTATGGTGCAGTGTTGAGTCTATGGGCAGTGTTGAGTCTATGGGCAGTGTTGAGTCTATGGTGCAGTGTTGAGTCTATGGGCAGTGTTGAGTCTATGGGTAGTGTTAGTCTATGGGCAGTGTTGAGTCTATGGGCAGTGTTGAGCCTATGGGCAGTGTTGAGTCTATGGGCAGTGTTCGTTCGTCTATGGTGCAGTGTTGAGTCTATGGGCAGTGTTGAGTCTATAGGCAGTGTTAGTCTATGGGCAGTGGTTGAGTCTATGGGCAGTGGTTGAGTCTATGGGCAGTGTGTATGTAGAACTTCTTTCGCACCGTACGTAGCCAACCATGCTAATCGGAGTGCATTGCAACCGAGTTTAATCACAGTGGGTGGCTGAAACATGGATTCGAACCCAAGCTCTTAGCGGTGCTGGCTCAGTGGCCCGTGACCTCTGTCATCAGCTCCCAGATAATGACAATAAGCTGACCCGACCCCAAACTGGACTTTGCACTCGCAACCTTCCGATAAACCAAGTCTGGCGCCAACCAGCTCGGCACCACCCAATAAAATGCAAAGGTCTTCACACGGGCGAGCATCATCTTCCTGCTACCTCCACTCTCCTCCGACTGGAGTGTGTCCTCGACACTCCGGGCTAATTCAGGACATGGAGAGGCGCAGCCCTACAATTTCTCACTCGTGCCACTGGTGGTGGAACGGGCCTCCACTAGAGGAGGGAGCTCTGCGGAGTTCCATCTGGGCAGCGTTTTGGCCTACACTTCCACGCTGGCTCAACAGCTTCGATGAGGTGGCAGGACCCACACTTTTCCCCACTGCAGGCGGGTTGCCGATAGACTTAACTGCGGCGTGATGCTACAGCGTGGACAGAGGCGGTGGATGGTGGCGTTTCAATCGACGACCTCTGGATTGCCAGTCCAGTGTGCTGCTGTTACACCATTGTGGCAGGGTCCCATTCTTTATTTAGCCCGTTTATGGCTCGCAATGTTATTTATATTGCTCTTTTATAATGTGTAACAAAGAAAAAAAGCAGCAATATAAAAATAAATGTGGCAACGGGGAACTAAAACCACCGTAAAAGTAACAAAAAACGCAAAGCGATTCGGGATCGCACGATCCAGTGCTAGTTGGTCACTGCACACGGTACAGGACTGGACTGGACCTGCATCGGCACACATTACGTCTCTATGCGTGGCTCACAATGGTGCAAAAGCTTTGGCAGTGCGAATTTCTTTTAGAATATAATTTACTTAAATGTTTATGGCGGGTACGCCCACCACCCCCCTCCGCCCCCACCTCTCCCAAAACAAATATCCCTATTTGAGACCCACAACCACCCCCTTGGCCAATACCGCAGGTGCGTTGTTATCAACCGCAAACACTCCGGGCAGCCTGCACCGTGGCGGTCGTTGCTGGAAGACGAGGTGGCCACGCACTTGCCGGTGTCATGCTCCAAGTTATTTCGCGATAAATTAATTGGGGGAAACGCAGCGGTCGTGGTCCCCCCTAATGAGGCTCTCCTGAGTAAGAAACGTAACAATAGTACGCGGGACACCGTGTGTTTGTGTGTGTGTATATAAGGGAGCGGTAGTGTCGTGGTTATCGCGCTGCACTACAAACCCGATGACCCGACTTTGATTCCTGCTCACGGTCAACACCAGTGACCTTAAATTTAACCAGTCCCTGGGCCCCCCCCCTAGGTCGACTCAGCCTCAAATGAGTACCTGGTGCAATATGTAAACATTGCCATTGGGGAGACAAAGGCGGCTGGGCGTGGTGCAGGCCACCCACCCCCTCGTGCGCCATGCCTGCCTTCATAGGTGCTCGCTAACAGCAATTGCCCCTACAGTTTACCCGGGAGGTCTTTGTTTTTATAAATATATATAGCGTCCCATATAATGTTAGGACACACTGCAATTAACCGTGCTCCTGTGATGGTGCCAGTAGTTCACAGGTACACGAACGAGTGTCAAGTAGAATTTGTTTATCTAGATGAGAACTCAACAGATGAGGATGAGTCTAATCTCCTGGTGACCTGGGGCATTCTTCTGTCTGTAGCATGGGGGTGGGGGGGGCGATGGATGATTGCCGTTGTGTATAATCATCAATCCGATAACTTTCGAATTTGCCGAATGTTGTACCCCAACGCCTGCACACGACGGGCCTGTTCTTGCGAATGCTGGCACGGGAATTTTTAACGACCACCGTGATGTTAGTCGTAGTAATATTGTTACGGCTATTTTACACCGCAGTATTAATCAGGATGGTCACTGGATTCAAACCGCAAAACCCCCGCAACGATCGGCGAACGCGCCGCTGGCACCAGGCCATGGTGGCACCGCGCCACGAGTGCCGGGCGGCACCCTCGTTGCCCTGTGGCCGCCCTGTGGCCGCCCTGTGGCCGCCCTGTGGCCGCCCTGTGGCCGCCCTGTGGCTACAGGAAAACTGCTGCAGCAGCAGCAGTTTTTACGGCGATTCCTTCCCCAACGAACTCAACCCGCCTCCGTTTGACCTGGCACCAATAAAATTTAACATTTCACAATAATGGCTCCGTTAAATAACACGGCGATCCGCGTGCAGATGCCAGAGAAGAAATTGGTACCTCCATGTAAGAGAGGTAGCAAAACTTTCGTCGATGGGATCTTTGCTGCCAATATCAACAATTATGAAAATGAATAAGAATAGGCTTTACCCTTTCTGGCAACACAACAGGAGGTTTTAAATTAGATTTAAAGCTTTCGTGACTGCAGGGATTCATATTCTTGGTTCTTTCGGTAAAGTCACGTAGAAGGGACACAATAAAATTATAAAAATATAAAACAATAAAAATTCTCACGACGTTTCGACTGCAACACAAGCAATCATCATCAGGTGTCAAATCCACAGCAAGAAAATATAATATACAACAGGAGGTGTTAAAATGTTCATTTTAGATACTAGCAAAAAAAGGTATCCCATAGATGTAATTGCTCGACCCGCGCTATAAATGTTCCGAGACTTGCCTTGTCTTTGTACTTTCGCCTTTGAAGCGTTCTCTGGTCTCACACCGGTGAGACAGGGCCATAAAGACGTCTCTGGTGTAGGCCAATCAGTTTCAAGGACAAGGCAAAAATCATTATCAGAGCATGTTCGTTTCCTTGTTTTGCCGAAAGTACGTGTGGTTAATAGAGACTTTATACCTTGCAAAAGGTATCTATCTGGTGTTTAAACAAATTCTAACACCTCGTGTTTTATTGTCAGAAAGGGTAAAACCTGTTTTTACTGTTTAAAAACTTCAGTATTAGCCCTTTATTTACATGTCTGATTCTATTCTATCCCTTGCACATGGCAAATGTGCTGGGGAGCTCGATGCCAATGCGGAGGTCTGTACGGCCAAAATCGCACTGCTATGGATTGTTTCTAAATAGATCTCTATCATTATGGGTTTACTAGATTGTCGATATTGTCCACAGTTTGTGTTGCATGGCTTGTCTTGGATCTTCCACATAGGAACGAAGGAGATCGTGCGCATCAATGTGGCTGCTTTTCCGCAAGATAAATTCTCAACAGCAATGCAACTTGACAGGAAAGTTTTGCTCGTACCCAATAATCTCATGACCACCCCCCCTCCCCTCACCCCGCCCATGTGAAAGACAGACAAAAACTCGTGCATTAACGATTAAAAGCTCAGGAGGAAAGAAACGCCGTGCAGCGGGATGCCTTACTTGGCTCGCGCTCCTCCGCTCACTTGAAGACCATCTCTCACGATCTGCCTCCCGACTCCCAGCTTCTGAGAAACAACAGAACGAGGCATCAAGGTCGTTGTTGCCGCCACCACCACCACCATCACCACCAAACCTCCCTCCTTCTGCTAGACCCGGTTCCTGTTGCGGAAGCGCAACACACAGGGCGGTGACGCGGCCCAGCGGTAGCCTGTTCATAACTATGTACGGATGGATGTAGAACTTCTTTCCTATGTAGAACTTCTCCGGTACCATTCGTAGCCAAATGTGCTAATCGGAGGTTTATATCTCGATTCCGGCAGGTAGCCCTGGTCAATACTGCGCCGTGTGTTAATCACGAAAGACTGCGGGCCGTCTGCTTTACAGCGGACGTTAATGATCCCGTGTCGTTATTCGAAACGAGCAGGCCATCACGTGCCGAAGTTACAGTCCAAATTTGCCCCCCCCCCCCCCCCCTCCTGGCAGACGACTGCCCAACGTGCGGGCCACGTGTCGGGTGGGCACCCAGCAGAGCAACTGAAACAATAGGGAGAGCAAGTTTGTTAAATCCCCACTCATATGTATGTTGAACTTTGGATTTAAAGCTTTCGTGACTGCAGGGATTCATATTCTTGGTTCGTTCGGTAAAGTCACGTAGAAGGGAAATAATAAAATAATCCAAATACAACATAATAAAGTTCTCACGACGTTTCGGCCACAACACAAGCAGCCGTCCTCAGGTGTCTTTCAGACAGCTCTGTTTCTTCACCCGAGGATGGCTGCTTGCGATGTGGCCGAAACGTCATGAGAACTTTATTATGTTTTAGTAGTACGATTTTTATTATTTCCCTTCTACGTGACTTTACCGAAAGAAACCAGAAATATTTTGAACTTCTTTCACAGTGTATGTAGCCAACCCTGCTAAATCTGTTCACCCAACGGCAACCAGTGGAATTCACTTCTACTGGACGTACACTCTGCCGACTCCCCCCCCCCCCCCCTCTCTCACTTCATTCAAATCACGCCGTAAGACGGAACTTTTTCAAAGCGATTTTTTTTCTATTTCTTGGCTCCTTTGTGTTTGGGGGTTGGGTTTTGATTGAATCCACCGGAATCGCTCCCCCCACCCCCCCGGTTTGTGAGTCTGAGCCGGAGGAGCTGTGGTGGGGCGAGTTGGGGGGGGGGGAGCAGCTCACCCCGGCCGCCGCATCCCCGGCAATCCCCGCAAATCGGTCGTTGGCATCGGGCCTGGCGGCGAGGTGGTTCTGCATGGTGCTGAGAGCACCGATCCCATCGGCGCCGGCGGCCTTTTTCTTCGGCCCTTCCACGTCCGTCTTCGAGGGTTTGTCTGCGGAGAAACGGGCCAAGGTGTGATTTTTTGTTATGTTGTTTTCGAATTTTTATTTACTGCGTTAATAATCGACCAAGCCAAGGCTGAAAACGCAAACGTGCACGTGGGTGGCGGCGGTGGCTACGCCGCCCGCCACCGCCTGCGCGCTCCAGCACAGCTGAGCAGGCAGGGAGGCTTGGTGGATCGCACGGTAGCAGCCCATGCCAGATTGGCCACACATGGGGTTCTAAATGTGGAAAACATTGCAAGTAACAAATTCAATAACCTCGGCAAAAACGTGAGCTGCACTGGAATGGATTGCAAAGTTAAAGCCATTGAAATAAAGAAAAACCCTTTTTTAAACTTGTTTCAGATAGATTCCCAGATTTTACACGAGATTTTTCTTTTTTTAGCAAAGTCATCGCAAGATAAACACAGCAAAGAAAATAATGTTCTATCATTTGACAGGGGTATCCTTATCTCGTGTGTGGTTTTTTGGCGGAAAGAGTGCCGAATCTGTTCACTCACGGTCGGATGAGGAGGTAGACCCCTTGAAAATACATCCAAAGTTAAAAACTCTAAACTGTGTCCCAGGTTGTCCGTGTCCCCCCCCCCCCCTCTCCCATCAATCAGGATGCATAGGGTACACGGGGCCTGGCGGATATCCGCTGCTGGGCCTTTGTTCTCGTGTACAGAAAAAAAAACTAGTACAAATATTTCAATGAAATTAAACTAAAAAAACTGTGACGTGGCTTTCATCGTGCCCAGGCGGTGAAAACTGCACCAGGCCCCCATGGGCCAGAGGGGCCCACCAGGCCCTGGGCTACAAATCGTACACAAGTAGGGGTGGGGGGTGGTGAGCAGTGGGGTCCATTTCATTAATTGCATCTGGGCCCATGCCAACCAAGCTACTCCTACCGATTGGTATTGTTGATCGATTATTCTGGAAGGAAGACATACACAGGGGAAATGTAACAGTCATGGACCGGTGGACACGTTTCCCAAGGTGTACGCGTCCCCGGAAGCCGTGCTCCCAGGCGGGCAGTTTTAATGCCGCGTTAATTCGCCAATCGATAAGTTTAGCCTGTGTCCACATCACACGCAATGTGCCCGACGGAAGTTCAAACTCGTGTGGGACAGCGGTTGATGATGACCACGATGATGATGAGGGATGATGGTGGGAACGTCCCTCATCTCCCTAACGCGCGTCTCCATTGCCCTGCGCTCTGTTGATGGCCACTCACGATGCCGATGACGAAGATGATATCAATGAGGATGACGCTGCTGCTGACGATGACGCTAATGACGGCGCTGCTGCCCACGAACTCTGGTGGCACCGACGACGGTGGTGGTTGCGCCTCCTCCGCCCGCTCACCTCCCTTCTTGTGCGCGTCCCCGTTGTGCTGCGCCCTCTCGGCGCTCGCTCCGTTGGTCTCCCCCCCCTCCTCCTCCTCGTCGCCGGGCCCCACCGACTGCTGTTTCTTGCTGGAGGCGCAGCCCATTGCGGGCACGCGCATCGGGGCACCCTCCCCCTCCCTCCCCCACGCCCCCTCCTCCCCTCCTCCGGCGGAGTCCTCCGGCGGAGAGTTGCCGCGCGCCGGTGCGGCTTCACGTGCCTCCGAGCTCGCGCATTACTGCGGGAAAACACAAGGGGAGTGGACACCACGCGTCAGCGTTGGCGCGTCCTTCCCCGCGCATTTCTTGAAGCCGGCTCACGAGCAATGAAATCGTTCGAGCAAACAAATCGCCAATCCCGAAATCGTGCAACGCAATCGGTCGCCCGCGACCACTGCCCGCATCCGAGTGAGCAGTTGCGCAACGGAGGAGAACAAACGCCGTATTCAGGGTCGTGCCGACCAATCGTAGTTCGTACATTTTGCAAATCCTCGGCTGGATTCCCTGGCCTCTCTCTGCCGGTTTCCCATTGCCTGCCTCTGCCACAGCGCCTCTACTCTCGGTCGTCCACCGTGTTTCTCTCCGCTCCCATCACCCTGCACTATGGCTCACGTGAGAACGATCGGCAGCTGCAGCAGCGCGACTCTCAACCACCTCCTTCTCCTCTCTCGACCACCGACCTGGGCGGCGCTACTGCCTGGCGTCGTTTCTCCGTGGCAGCCCCGCCATCTGGAACGTGGCAATCATCGTCCCAACGCTGCACATTCACAGCAGCAGCAGCAGTCAATCTGCATCGCCTTTTAAAGAGACACTTAAAAGGCCCCACCACTATCACCTGGCTATCAAGTGACACCGAGCCTGACTCCCCAACTCAGTATCACGGTCATTTTTCCGTCCGTGAATGTCATTGCGCATTATAAATTGCATCGTTAACAATGTCTCACGAGACAAAAGCGCGTCAGCTAACGATTGCCGAGCAGATCAACAGTCGACAGCGGCATCTCTTCCGCAAACGGTAGCGCAACTGCTCACAGAGACGCGCACACAAACAGCACACGTATACGCCGAGCGGTGGCAAGAAACGCAGAGGTCGCTGGGTCGATTCTATCTCCCGGCGTGGCAGTAGAAACAATGGGGGAGGGCGAGTTTCTTAAATTCCTCCCCACCCCCTGCCCCCCAGCGTGGGAGAGTAGACCAAATAACCTGTAGAGAAGGGCTCTGTTGAGCTCCCTCTGGTGATCACCCTTCCGACCAGCAGTGGTGCGAGCAGGAATTTACAGAGCTGCACCTTCCAACCGTTTAGCTTTTTTTTACTTTTCACTATTTACAATGTTACAGAACGACCCAACTAGCAAATGCGATTGCGGCGGAGTTCACAGGAGGTGGAAGTTTTCAGAAAAGAGACGCTCGGTGTGGAAACAACCAAGCTTCCTTACCCGTCTGTGCAGCAACGCTCACTAACGGTGAACAAAAACTCTGTGATAAGGCCCTGGTGGCGTAGCGTGTTGCAATGAATACGTAGCAGCAGTAAACCAGAGCTGGGAGACAACGGCAGCAGCAGCAACAAGAATGCAAAACAAAACACTGCTGGTCTCTACGCACGCGGCATTAGAATGTCAGCAGAGATTGGGGGGCTATACAGGTAAACAAATGGACAGGAAGAGAGAAACGTGGATTGATGATACTCGGAAAGCCACTGGAGCTATGCACTTTGAAATCTAGATTGAGAGCTAATTTATTAAGAACTGCTTTTTGTGCTTAGTTTGTTGTCCTTTCCCCGCACCTCCGATTAACGCGATTGGCTATGTACTGTGCGAAAGAAGTTCAACATACATTCTAGGCGATCTGGTCATACGCACGCTGCTGCTGCTGCTGTTCAATAAAACAACAGCAGCGGCGTTTTTTTTACTCCTTTAAACGTTGGACGAAGTCAAAATTAGATCATTGTCGCGAAATCAATTCGGAAGCAAACCACGGGGGATCTCTGCCCGGCTGGGGTTGAGACACGAAGCCGAAAAACGCGGCTCAGGGAGACGAAGGGCAGAAACACGAGAGGTGAGAGCAGACGATTGTTGAATGCTTCCAGTTTAAATTTCGATTTAAAGCTTTCGTGACTGCAGGGATTCATCTTCTTGGTTCTTTCGGTAAAGTCACGTAGAAGGGAAACAATAAAATAATAAAAATAAAACAAAATAAAATACAATTCTCACGACGTTTCGGCAAGGCTTCGGTGGTACGGCCATGTGATGCGAAGTGAAGAGTCATCAGTGGCCAAGACTGCCGTGCGTATTGAGCCAGAGGGCCGCCGTCCACGCGGACGTCCGAAGAAGCGATGGATGGATCGAATAAAGGAAGACATGAAGACGGTCAACGCATCCCCTGAAGATGCCCTGGACCGAGCCAAATGGAGAAGACAATGCCGAAAAGCGGACCCTGCGCCACAGCGGGAACAACGCTAGGAAGATGATGATGACGACGTTACGGCCACAAAGCAAGCAGCCGTCCTCAGGTAAAGAACAGGTCTGTTTGCTTTGACGATCCAGGTGAAAAAATAACTCAAGAGGCCAGGATGAGCCTCATTCGCAGCAAGAGCGACGTGATTATCCGCCACTTTGACATCCGCAAGATTCTATTTACCGGCGTTTGCCATGGACGGAAAACACAAATATTTGTTCATTTATTCCCAAAAAATCCCGACAGCCATCTGGCACCTTCCCGTGCGTGCGCTTATGATGGGTGCGTTGTTTACGGGAGGTTCAGGACGCTGCCGAGCGGTGGCGCTAGCGATAGTCTGTACTGTACTCCTGTATACTGTACTCTAAAAGGGCACCCACTGCGTCTCGACAATAAACTGAGAATGCCCTACAGCCGACTGGTCAGTGTCGCTGCAGAATAGCGGAAGTTTCTTATATCGCAGTACAATATGCAGGGTCAGTTTCTTTGCAGAACAGGGGGAGAACATAACATCTAATTATACATTTTTTACTTTAAGGGGCAGTGTAATTCACGAATGTGTTGTGCTTTTGCCAGTGGTGCTATGCGCCACTGCCACCGACACATAAACTGAATAAACGGAGTTCCTCAAGTGTAGCGAGTTGATGATCACAGCCCAGTTACCAATGACTTACGCAACGACCCACGAACTCGCACAGTGACCCACGGCTCCACGTTGATAGAGCTGTTATTGAACCGGGTTTCTCAACTGTAGCGAGTTTATGGCCTCAGTGCGGTCACCAATGACTGTGAGGGCAAGCGCCGTTAGCGAACACCTATAAAGGCCAGAACGACACACGAAGGGATGGTTGACCAACACCACACCCGATCGCCTTCATCTCCCCAGTGGTAATATTTACACATCGCACCAGGTACTCAATTCAGACTAGTAGACCCAAGGGAGACCCATGACCGGTTCAGATCATCGCCACTGGTGTTGACCGTGAGCGGGAATCGAACTCGGGTTGCCGAGTTCGTAGCGCGGGGCCCTAACCTCTACCCAAAATGACCGTACGCACACACAAAATAACATTTACCACGTTACGTTTGGTTTTTCGCTCAAGAGGTGGCGCAGAGGTCACAGCGCTGAGCTGGCTCTACCGAGACACCGGGGGCCATCCCTGTAACGCCCATGGGGGTGGGGGGGGGGGGGAGGCCCTCATCTCATTATAAGACACCAACAGCAGTACAAATTGGAATTGTGAAAAGGCAATAGAAAATGTTAAAAAGGGGCAGAATATTATTACCGAGGAACAACGTGTCGGGGGTGAGGTTGCGAAGGCACGCTGTGGCCTGCCTGTGTAACCTCCAGTGGTGGATGAGAAGCAACAGTTATACCAAGCAAAGGCACACAAGTGGCTCACGGGGGGCACCAGATCCAAATATATCGGCGCGGTAACTATTAGCTCCAATTAGAAATGATATCTTGATTTGAAGCAGGAATCCACACTCTTTGGTTCTTTTGGTAAAGTCACGTGGGTAGAAAATAAAATAAATCACGACGTTTCGATCGCAACACAAGCGGTCGTCCTCAGGCGGAAAAAATATAATCCAACAGTGGAACTGCTGAACTAGCGAGAGAGCAGCTACAACAAGGCTTTACATGTGGCGACGGGCAAGCAAGCGGGCTCCGAGCTGGAAAGGATTAGAAATTCTAAACAATACAATATTAGAAATTCTGAACAATACAATAGGCTAATCAACATAAATCGCACAATTACTGTGATCTCTCTCTCACCGCCAACTTGTCTGCATCTCCCTTCTCCCATCCGACCACCCTCTCTGTTCTTGTACACAAAATGGATAAGGACACAGGAGGTCAAACTCCCGGCTCGGCAGTGGAAACGATGCGGACCCCCCTCTGCCTGCCGTCCCTCCACTCAGCAGTGGAAACGGGTTCATCACAGTTCGTCAATCGTCAGATCGCATGCCGTGGGGAGATTAACACCTCTTACAAGATGTCTGGTCAGTGTGGAAGAATAGGCCAAAGATACCCCCTGCAGAGCGACTCTCTAACAGCTGCCTCCAGTGGAGGCCCTTCTTCCACCAAGTGGCACCAGCACGCAATTGCAGGACCATGCCTTTACTTAAATCTACATTTTTCATTCCCACATCTCAATAGGATTTTATAAACTGAGAGAAATGGGAGAGGGGGCACAAAAATAATATTTGCTCAGGGCCCCCAATCGAGGGGAGGAGGAGAAGAGCCCTCCCACCCCCCCCCCTCCCTCCACAAGCAAACCCACGACTTGTCCAAGCCATCGCACTGAAAGCGGCTACAACATTTGGCCCTGCAGAAGCCGATAGTTCAGAGTAAACAAAAAATACCCCTTTAACCTTCAGCACTTGCAATCACAAAAGGCCACCACCCCCCCCACCCCCCATTAAAATCACTAACGCATTCAGGGCCTATTTTCCCGCTAAATTTGCCGCGCAAACTGCGTGCTCGTTAGCCAGCGCTTTCAAACTGCAATGGTTTTGTCTTCATTTGTTATTCCCTCATCTCAATAGGATTTTATAAACTGAGAGAAATGAGGGGGGGGGGGGGCACAAAAATAAGTTCTGCTTAGGACCCCGAGGGGAGGAGGAGAGGGGCCCTCCCCCCCCCCCCCCCCAAATCAAACCCACGACTTGTCCAAGCCATCGCACTGAAAACGGCTACAACATTTGGCCTTGCACAAGCCGATATTTCAGAGTAAACAAAAAAATATCCCTTTAACCTTCAGCACTTGCAATCACAAAAAGG